TACTTTTTTTGGCTGTCTCTGTTAATATAAATGTCCACAACAATTAAGACTACACTGGAAAAATTTTCCCTCAGAAATTGCTTGTAAATTTCACAAATAATTACGGCAAGTGACGCATTGAATTAAATTTGAAATTTTGAAGTAGAAAGATTGAAATAGTGTTTTCTTGTAAAATCTGTTTTATTTACAATTTTTTAGAGTGTACATATAACTGTGAATGTTGTACAGAATGTAGTTGGAGGCATTTAAAACCCTGTTTACACCTGGCATTATCATTGGTTTTGGTTGATCTGAACACATGTGCTCATTATGGACACATTATGTTTACACCTGGTAATAACATCCATCTCAAATGTGTCTCCTGTGACCACAAATGATTGAGGGGTCGAAGGGAGGGCCTCTGATTTCATGCCCTTATACATCAGCATCAATACTGTATATGACTACATGTTGATAACGCATAGAAAATGAAAATCTCAGAAAAAAATACTGGTAATATAATCAGTCAATTTAGATATCCATGTTTCATATTCAGTTAAATTTATTCATTTGCTTTCAGATGTTTTTATTTAGAGTTGGTTATCTGTGTCACTGCATACTGAAGATGTTCTCCACAGTCTGTATTTGGAATGCATGACATATTGTGCAGTATTTTTATGTATTTATTTATTTGTAATGCTAAACACTAATTAAACAATATAGACTTGAATTATAATGTCTACTTTTAGCACTTAAAACTATAAATAATTTTTTAGTGTTTTAATAAAAAAATTTTTTTTTTTACACATTTTTACACCAAATGGTATATAAATTTCATATTGGCCCATTATAACATCATAATAATTATTGGATAGAAATTATAAAATTGTTTCATAGTCTATATATGCATGAGCTTTTCCAAAATATCCAAATGATCATCTACTTCCTATGTAATGGGCAAACTTTAAGTAGTTTTTTGTAGTTCAAGTGATTGGAGCATAAAATTATTTGGCCTTTTTGTTTTACACCTCTACTTTGCACTGTCTACTTCAGGTTGGATTCAGGTTCACTCACCCTTATGTCGTTCTAAACCTGTATGAATTATTTCATTCTGCAGAACACAAAAAAAAGGATATTTTGAAGATTGTTGGTAACCAAACAGTTTTGGTGACCATTGATTTTCATTGTATGGGCAAAAAAACTTTCTTCTTTTGTGTTATACAGAAGAAGAAAAGCCATACAGGTTTGTAACAACATGTTTTTTGGTGATCTATCCCTTTAACAAGAAAATCTCTGTTGGACCTGTGGCTAAGCACTTAGGACGTGGTTTGACATGTTAAGCTAGTGTTGCTCATTTGAGCAATGTGAGTTGAGTCCCTCTTCCTATCAATAAGTGTCAGAAAGGCTGGTAAAAACATCATTCGGGACATCCCAAATTTAATCGAGCCTCAGAACGGCTAAACACCTCCAAAGACAAAATGCAGAACCCGCATTTGTCTCATCTGGTTCCCACCCACTCCAGACACACGCTGATTTTATTCCCATCGGTAACTGTGTGTCGTAACCTCTCACACGTGACAGTGTGAGTGTGACTGAGGGTGTCTGTCATCTCTTAATGATGTATGCCTGGCCAGTGAAGAGGTCACTGTTATAGACGGGATGGTCAATTGCCCTTGTTCAGCAAGCAGCGTGGTGAACGCTCTCCCTGTAGACTCTGCCATTAAACAGCACTGCGTCCCGGCCCAGACAGAGACGTATTAGCTCTCTATCATTCTTATTGATCACTGGAAGGCACGAGCTTCTGTCTAATCAAATGCCCATTAGTCTGTTTGTGTGTGCAGTGCTGCTTTTTGTAGCCAGACAGACCGTGAGATCATGCTGTTCTCACTGTGTGTGTGGCAGAGAGCGGAAGGAGCTCTAATTTAGCTTAAGCAACATTGACACTGTCGCCGTTCCTGAGTCCTGGCAGCACATCGCCGTCTTCCTAATTCTATTTTGCATTCTGAAGAGGATCTTTTTAACTGTGGGATGTTTTTGGATGTGGATGGAATTGAGTGAGCGCCGTCCCGTCCTCTGCCGTTTGGCCTGAATTGTGTTTATTGCTGGAATTCTGCTAATGGGTTGCTGTGGAAACTTAGCCAAATGTCCACAGCGCTGCAAGCATCACGGACCAAACCAATGGCCCTTCACATGAATTATCATGTCCTACTTAAAAAAAAAATAAACAAGTTTTTGGACCTTTTGGGAGCCTTTCACATGTAGAAGTTCAAACCCAAGAGTTGTTGAGCACTCTAGTATTCTGCTGCTTTTGTTTTAAATGCACAATCTGGAACTATGTGTACGTTACATCAGCCAGCACAACAAAACACTTGACATAATCTACTGCGTAGAAGCTATTATTACTGTCATTTGTAATTAAAAAGTGAATTATAGTATATCTCTGCCAGTTACAGACAATGCAAACACGCAAAAAGACACACACACTGAAGCGCAAAGCAGGTTTTTTTTTTGTGAGTTTTAGCTGTGTTTCAAACCCTAGTGAGTTACTTTGCAGTCTACAATATAGTCACCTGCCTATTAAGTCTACAATTTTGGAATGCGTAAGTGCACAATTGATTCCAATAGAGCTGGACATTAGCAAAAAAGTAGCACACAAATATTGAATAATATAATAAATGTTAAATTGAAATTAATTCTTTTTTTGAATTATACTTTTTGATATCGAATGAAATGTGCATTATGGGATTGCCTTCTTCATGGATACATGCTGTGCTACCTTAAGGTGCAGTCACATTTAACATTGTTGGGCGAATGTTCATGGTTGAAAGTCATTTCAACAGGAATCTGTGCAATAGGAAATAGCATTCAGCTTGTGTATGCTATTGACAGTAACTTAAACAATTGATTCCAAAAGGGTTGGACATTAGCATGTTGCAAAAAAGTACAGTACACCACACACAAATATTGGATTAAATAATAGATGGTAAATTAAAACGAATACTTTTTTCCAATGTTTTTGGTATTGAATAAAATGTGCATAAGTTGCATTCTCTAAAGTGACGTGACATGTGGCCAAGTATGGTGACCCATACTCGGAATTAGTGCTCTGCATTTATCCCATCCAAAGTGCACACACACACACCGTGAACACACACCCAGAGCAGTGGGCAGCCATATTTGCTGCGGCGCAGTTGGGGGTTCGGTGCCTTGCTCAAGGGCACCCCAGTCGTCTATGAAGGATACATACCATTATTAGGTGAATTTTGAGGTCAAAAAAGTCATTTCAATAGGAATCTTCACATTTGAGAACTTAAATTGAACTGAGGTTGAAAGATTTCCCCATGCAGATTTTGCTCGAGTTCAAGTTGGTCATGTGAATTTACTGCGTCGACCAACAGAAAGCTGCTTGGTTTGAAAGTGACTTTGTGAGCTGTGCTTTATAATTCAGTTGACAATAGATCTTTTTACTCATGAAATTTCTCAGAAATTTGAGTTGAAAAGTTGAGTTGAAAATTTCAGAATGTCTTTTGCTGTATAGGTTGGCAGCTTTCTAAGGTTTGGAACAGCTTATGTCTCTCTAATAAACATGAAAGTGGAATAACTCTTTTCTCTCTCTCCCTCTCTCTCTCACTTACACAGTCTCTTGCTCCTTCGGCTGATGTTAATTGAGTCTAATTGAAAAGAAAACAAAAGAGGGAGGCTTTTGTAATCCAGCTCTTTGATTGGGTTGTGGTGTAGAGCTTGTGTCAGCTGGAGAGGACAGAAAACAAACGAGTCGTGGTCTGGTCATCAACGGTGTAAGGAATTTTTAACTCAGTTGTAAGGGAATTAATTATTATTAATTCATTCAGGTTTATTTCTAGCTCAGGTTTTAAAAGAACTCGATCTGAGAATTCGAGGTTCACCTGATCAAAACTGATTTTGACTTTAAATGGTTTACACTTTAAATCAAGGGGTCATTAAACCCACCTTCACCTACTAAGGGTGCTTAACACATCAAAGCTCAGCGCTGCCGTCAATCAGTGTATATGTTTGTTTTTATGTGTAGGATGCTTATTTAAACGCATATGGGCACTTGCTTATTCTGATCAGAAATCGTAGGTGTAAAATATCTTAAATAAAGAATGCTGATTGTGTTGGCCATTAAAGTCTTTAAGAGTAAATCCAAATTATTGGCTGTTTTCCCTAGTTCTACCTGGGATCAACAATACAAATGTGGCATCCATCCATCCATCCAAAAAAAAAAAAAAAAGTTTAAACTTAAATTAAATTTTTTAACCAAAAATGTATTAATTCATTTTCAGCTTTTTAAAATATGGTTTTATTAATTTTTTTTTTTTTTTTTTTTTAATTAATGTATGTTTTTTTAATGATTTATTTATTTGTTATTTAAGAATTTTTTTAATAATTATTTACTTTTTGGATTTTGATTGTTTTTTGCAAATTTGATTAAAATTTCCTATGGAAGTATTAATCCAATTACATTTATCCATTTATAAGTGTGACTTTAATTGTCCACAGCATGTCTCACTCTGATTTCAGGAATCACACCACCAATTTTTTTCAGTATTACATCTGTGATGAGATTTTTAACATTAGGCTACTTAGAATTTTGACTCGTCAGCCCAGAAAGCTGAATACGAATTTGGTAGTTTTATTTTATGACACTTACATTCTCGAAAGTGAAAGTATGTTTGGAGAAGGCAGACCTACCGTATATGAAACGCGTCATTCGAGGGCTACTAGCATTCATTGTATTATTATTTTATTTATGTTTTTTGTTTGTTTTGTTTTGCTATTTGTGCATGTATGAGCGCTTACTGACAGCCAGTTACCAGGTTGTTATATCGAGACCAGGCTGTTTGAGTGTATTTTTTGCAATATTTCGGAGAGAATTTTAATAACATTAAGGTGTGGGTAAAGGTATAAGCACCTGGGAGAGAACGTGGTTGTTTATTTCTGAAGTATGTGCGTGCGTGTGTGTGTGTGTGTTTGTCTTCACTGTTTTTCAGAGGGGTATGATTACTCACGTAGCTCTGCGGCGAGCTTCCATTCTCTGTGCAGACAAGAACGTGCCTGTATCACTCTGGCGGTGCCTCGCTTTCCCTCTGCTGTTGCCAGCGTGGTTCTGCGTGAGAGACAGAGGAGAAAAACAGAGTGACGTGGAGAGAAAAAAAGATGGAGAAACAGTTAAAAAGGTGAGGGGGGACGTGAATCTCTTGAGGAGATACCTTGTCCATACACACCAACACAAACTGTGCTGAGGTAATGTTATGGTAATAATATGCTAATGATATGCTAATCCAGCAGCAGTATTCCATATCAGCGGTGTGAGAGGATTTCAGTGAGGTCCTTCACCAGTGGGTGGAAAGGAAATACCTCCTGATCTCACTGTACACACACACACACACACACACACACTCTCTCTCACACACACACACACACTCACACACACACACGCACACACACACACACACACATACATACATTTACATATTCACCAAACTGATGCACTCACTCGTTTTTCCATCTGATTGTAGAGTTTGGTGAGTCTAGACAGAAAGAGAAAGAGTTAAAGAGAACACTACAATTTGGCAAGCCTCTTTGGTTCAAAAATACATGTGTATATCTATGTTATTCTGGCCACAAACAAAAAATTACAGATGCTTTCACTACTCTAGCAAATCAGCATTCACATACAGAGCACAAGTTGACAGATTAAGCACTGTGATGATGGGGACACGCACACACGCACACACACACACACACACACACACACACATTTACATATTCACCAAACTGATGCACTCACTCGTTTTTCCATCTGATTGTAGAGTTTGGTGAGTCTAGACAGAAAGAGAAAGAGTTAAAGAGAACACTACAATTTGGCAAGCCTCTTTGGTTCAAAAATACATGTGTATATCTATGTTATTCTGGCCACAAACAAAAAATTACAGATGCTTTCACTACTCTAGCAAATCAGCATTCACATACAGAGCACAAGTTGACAGATTAAGCACTGTGATGATGGGGAAGGAGGATGATGAACTGATTTAGTCCTGTCTGTTTTTATCTATTGTATTATTAGTTGTGCTGCACTCTCTCAGGTGGCTTCAGCCCACAGCTCTTCACAAGTTATGACGCTCTTCGACTCATTACCACTGCCAAATGAAGATCATTTAATTACATTATTATGCAGGTGAGTAAATTGTTGACTAGACAAAAAGTGTCTTTAGAAGTCATTATAATGTTTATTTGCATGTTATTGAACGTCGTTCTAGTACATTACCATTTAAAAGTCACCAAAGAATCCTGAAAAAAAAACATTACAGTTTTCACAAAATTATTAAGCAGCGCAACCATTTTCAACATTGATAATAATACAAAATGTTACTTATCAAATATTAGAATGATTTTTGAAGGATCATGTGACACTGAAGACTGGAGTAATGACTGGACAAATAATTGTATTTGTAATCAACATGCTGTATATAAATATATGTATATCTCCCAATTCTGCTGCCTTTGAACTCATCATAGTCACTAGTAAAAGGTTTGGGACTGTGCTTTCTTGTGGTGCCATCAGCCAGTCAGCATCGTCATGATGTAATTTCCTGTGATAAGGCACAGGTGATTAGCTCAAACACTTCTGTGGTCCCATGAACAACGATGACAGATTTTATTGCCTTGCAAGTTCAGGCTTTTTTTTCAGACTTTAGTGCCATGCAAATTCAGGCTATGCAGTTAAAATATTAAGATTAAAACATTCCCAGAAAAGGGAGATACTAAGTTCATGCGGGGTCTGTGGGGCATTACTGGGCCTCTGTAGTGAGCTTGAATCAAAGCATCTGAGCTTGGCTGCATTGTAAGGGCTGGAATGTGTGAGCACAGTGGCCTGATCACATTCTGTGTGAGTGATAAAGAGAAAGCCATTCCATCACTGAAAGCTGATGTGCTACAGAAATGTGTGATTGACAGGTCCCCCTCACATACACATACCTTAGTACACGCACAAAAAATTTATCTTGGCACAGTGGGAGCTTTCCTCTCCTGGAAGTGAATGGACCAGCTTTGTAATTGTCAATGGGGGTTCAGCTCATGTGTTTGTGATGCTGTCATCTGAAATATTATTATTAAATATTTAAAAGTACAACAATTAAAACAATATATTTTTTTTTATTTAAATAATAATAATAGTAGTAGTAGTAGATGTAGTAGATGTAGTAATAGTAGTAGTAGTCGTAAAGGTTAAAATGGTATAAATATATATTTAAATACTTGATAATTATAATGCTTTAATTTTTTAATTAAAATGTAAAATACTTTATTAAAAAGTATAAAGTATTATACATTTTTATTAAAACAATAATACTTTATTTTTTTATTAAAATGTAATAGTAATGTTTAATTTATAATAGTAATAATAATTAAATTCAAGATTTATTATTGTTTTATTATATTTTAATAATTTCTATGATGATGATGATAACAACAATAATAATAATAATAATTATTATTATTATTACAAGTTAAATGTTTATTAATATTATATTTTAAATACAATAACTATTGTTTAAGTAAAAATTAATAATAAGTGGTTAGTAATAATAATAATAAAAATATTATTATTATTATTATTATTATTGTTGTTGTTTTCGTCATGACCCCTACTTTGACTAAAGCTTACTAAAATAATTATCAGAGTCTTCAATAAATAAGCCCTCGGTAGGTTAATTTGTTCCCAGAAATATATACATTGATATATGTAGTTCATATATGCATAGTTCATGCAGTTCATACACACACACACACACACACACACATTCACTCTCTCTCTAAAAAATACTGGGTTGTTTCAGCCCATCTTTGGGTCAAATATATTTTAGCAAATGGCTGCAATATAACAAAGAGTGAAAAATTTAAGGGGGTCTGAATACTTTCCGTACCCACTGTATATAAGTTTATTAGCTCAACATTTTGTTAATTTTTTCACCACAAATAACAAAGCATTCAGGTTGATTTTCAGTGTTTAAAACATTTGTCATGTCACTGCATGCACGACACGCATTCTATTGACCCACAATACCCATCATGCTTGGTCACCTTAAATATGTCTCCTTTTTTCTCCCAACATGGGATTTGTCAATACAAATTAAATGTATTAAATAAAAAATATAGCAAATTATTTATTTAAAAATAATTACAATAATTTTAAGTAAATATAAATAAATAAAATAAATAACATTATTACCTAATGCTCATTAATTGTTACACTGTTGGCCAAAGCTAAACGACCCCCTCACTCATCCTCCTCCTCTCTCAGTCTTTGCTGTTCTCCATGTTCCTGTGGTTTCTCTGAATTTGTGAAGCAGTTTATGAAGGGATCTCAACTAGGAATGCAGTGAAAGTTTAGGATTGTTTGTCATATGTTGTTCTGTGACAGAAACACTACGTGTGAAAGATGTTCTGTGTGAAAAAAGGTGAAAAATAAGGCGTTTTAAAAGTTGCCTGCATTCACATGAACACATTAGAGAAAGAGAGAGAGAGCGATAGATGAAAGATCATTTAAAATGTTTGTGAAATGGGTGAAGGTGCTTCAGGAATGTTTTCAGTCATACATACATGATGAACCAGTTCATGAACCTGCTGACAGATATCAAGGTTTTAGAAATGTTTCCTCTTAAATATTTACTTTCCACAAAACTGTACTTGCATTATTTCATTAGAACACATTCCTACTACACTTGTCGTAATCGCCATCTTGATTTAGTTTTGTATTTTTGTCTTCCTGGCTAAACCCCAGGCTTATGTCAGCCAATTAATTTCTTCTAAACAAGCTAGTTGTTCTTAGGTAAACCATTTGTATTTCTGGTCTAATTTGTTCACATCATATAGAAGGTGATTTAAAGGTGAATTTTCTGCAACATTAACAGCCACCTTTTTGGGAAGTCAACCTTCAAATGGTTTACTTATAGTTTTTTTCTGCACACCAAAGCCATTTGAGTCTCATGGCACATGTTAATTTTGGCCCCTGAATAACCTGCACTGTATCAATTACAGTTCAAAGATGCATAAATCCAGCTAAAGGTAACATTATACATCAGATATAGAACGCCATATAGTGAGATTGTTCTGAGCTCTCAGTTCTACTAATACAAAATCTCTCTTCTTCATCTTTTGACACTTGTCCTGCTATGAAATTCTCAGCGACCATTTGAATTACTGTAGATATGTGCTGAAAATCTTGTTTTGACCATTGCATAGAGTTAGGCATTCACACACATCAGTCTTGTACTTGAAAGTTAAAAAAAGAGGCTTTCTAAAAGGATTTTGGAAAAGGAGAAATAATTATATAAAGGGATAGTTTGAAGAATAAAAAGAGTTAAAAATACTAGAACAAGAGTTTTTCTTCCTCCATTTATCTCTCTCTCTCTCTGTGTCTCTGCTTGAGTGAAGGTACATTTCAGTCAGCCTGATCTCCTCTCACTCACAGTACAATGAGAGCTGCGCCCATAATGGCTGCTGGAATATCAAGCTACGGGGGGAAATGAGAAAGCAGCATCTTATGGGCTCATTCATCAAGAACTAATTGAGGCCTGGGTACTCTCAAGTGCTGATAAAAACGGAGGAGTATGTGTGTGTGTTTGCTTTTGTGTTTTCAGCTGGAATGCGAGTGTGTGTGTGTGTGTGTGTGTGTGTGTGCACGCGCATTGCCAGTGAAGAGCAGAGGAATTCTGCTCCACAAAAGATGTTTTCCTGGTGGAAGTGACTGCATGTATGGCTGAGTAGCATGCGGGCAGAGGACCAATGGGGTTGTGGGGGGTTCGTCGGTAGCTCTGCATACTAAACGGGTCGGGAGCGAGGGGAGTGTGGGGGTTAGCATTAGACCTGCTTCACTGGACCTCTCATCTGGGGCTGGAGCTATTGTGCTCTACTCCACCTCGCTGTATTGATTCCACGAGGCGGGAATTCTGCACCTCTCTCTTTTTCTCTGTCTTCCCTCCCTGTTCCCTCCTTTTACACTCTGATTTGCTCTCTGCCACCTTTTCCTTCTTCCCTTCCCCTTTCTATTTACCTGTTTCACTCTCTTTCTGCATCGCTTGCCCCGTCCCC